CGCTCATAGAGTACACTTGTATGCATTTATAAACATTGTACCAAAAAAAATTTAAATTTTACTCGTTAAATACGGGATTATAACTGGGTTATACTGTATTACATAAATACTATATTGAATTCAAATCAAAAATTAAATTTCATAACCAAATTGCAATCAATCAATATGTGAGAGCTTAAAAGTTGACAAGTTTAGAAAGAAACAATGACTACCTACTGGTTATTGAAATTAAGTATTCAACGAGCATGAGAGTAAGCATTAAACCGTTTTAGGTGTCTTACTTTACTTATGTTCGGCACTTAAGTATTTAATTAGGAGATCTTATTGGAATTTTAAATAAGACCTCCTAATTGCCTAAATTTTTTCTCTTGTTCTCTTGTTCCAGGATAAGAGAGAAGCGGAGTTGTAAACGACAAAATTGCAAGAATTGAGAACAAAATTTTTAAGTATGACTTTAACTAAAAAAAGTTTGAAAAATTTAAATGAATTTAGTTTCAAAAAAAATAAAGTGGAGAAAGTTGTATCATTCAAAGAAATATTAAATATAATTAAAAAACAAACAGATTTTAGTTTTTCTGTTTATTTCTTGCAGTAGTAAGGAAAAGCCGTATTTCAAACTGTCCTTTAGTAAGCATAGAGAATAAAGATTTCAACAACCATTTTTAAATTTTTTTCAATTAAAAAAACTTACATTTCATATATTTAATCGTATTTAATTTTGAAAACATGAAAGAGAAAGTGCTTAATCATTAAAAGAAATAATAAACCTGATTTTAGAGAACTAAAAATAATATTTTTCACATACCGTTCATTCACTTCTTCCAGTAGTAAGGCAAAGCTGGGTTGTAAGCAGCGTAGTTGTAAGCATAGGGATAAGAAGCAGCTGGAGCTCCATAGTAGTAGTTGTAGTTGTAAGGGTAGTATTGCGCATATGCGCAAACCACCAAAGCAACAACGACCAAGAGAGCAAACTGCAACATAAAAAATAAATAAATAAAAAACTTTGCTCTTAGCATATGAAAATGAAAAAGTAATAAAATTTGATAAATATAATGAAATTCGGTAAGTTAATCATGATACCTTAGAGCACGTAATATAACCCATTTATTCGGTTAAACTTACTTTTCAGTTTTGTATTTTTTACTAAATGTAATAAGAATTATAATTTTGAAAACCAGAATTTTCGCTAAACCATTACCATACGAACGAGAAAAAGACCAAATTAATGGTTTTAATTAATAAAATTATATATTTTTTTAGTTTTTAAATTTTTTCTACAGTATTTGTTATTTACATACCGTACGATAATTTTACAAGAATTTTTTCTCACCGTATAATGTTACAGAAGCAATAAAAATGATTATACTTTATATTACTTGAAAGATACATAGCATAAGAAATATATTTAAAATTTAACTATCTTTGTTATTTTTTTTTTGGGGGGGGGGACTTTAATGATACATTAAATAACGATAAAGTTTTCGTAAATGGCACATTTTAGTTTTTAGTTTAATGTTTGGTAATCTTAAATATAATAAGAAGGCAGTGAAACTGATTTATGCTACATATTAATTGAAAACATTTTAAGAGACATATATACTTTGATAATTTAGTTAGCTTTTAAATTTTTTGATGATTTAATGATAGATTAAATTAAAAGACTCACCAAGTAATGCATGTTGAAAGAGTACTTTTCTAGCTTGAAACTGGAAAGTATAACAATGATTTTTTCTAAGCGGTATTTATACTCAATTGGAGTGGAAAAAAATTTAATCAATTGTATAAAAAACTAGTTTATTTTGAAGGTTATTCATCATCTTTGAGAAAAACCTCCTATAATTTTTTTTTAAAGGTGGGGCTCATCTAACTTGTATGTCCACATTAAAACTCAAAGAAACCATTCTTTTATTTTTTCCTACTTCTTTGATTAAAAATAAATGACGTAAAAACTCTTTAGGAAGAACAATAATGATGTAGGCGCCATCTCTTAATTGTTACTCTATGTGTCAAAAATGATTAATGTTTTTTTATTTTAAAAGATATTACTAGTTTAGAATTTTAATCAAATTTTTAAGGCTAAATGTTTTTTTTTCTGGTTAGAATAATTAATTTAAAGGAATATCTGGTTTTTCGGATGTATCATTTTCAGTTTCTTTTTTGCTTTACTTTGCGTATTCTGGTAAAATTCTTGTATGGTAATGACATTTCTGGTAAAAAAAGCAAACTAAACAAACTTAATTCTGATATTAAAAATCAAAGTATAAGGTAATTAAGCCATTCACTTGTTAATTTTTCCGTTCATATGGTAGCAGTTCACTGGATTTTCTAATTTTCAAAATTACAGTTTATATTACGTCTCTTTTAGTAAAAAGTACAAAACTGAAAAATAAATTTAAGCAAATAAATGGCTTTTGTGCCATGCTCTCATCATTTAAAAAAGTATTAATTCAAAATAACCTAATTTTATTACATATTATGAACCATATTTTATTGTTAATTTTACCAAAACACCTCGGTAAAAATTACCAAGCTCTTTGGAGTTCCGAAAATACCAGAAATATCGTGAATTTTACCATATTTTGTTAGTTTTGACAATACTTTTTCTCTCTGTGCATTCAACTCAATAGAGGGCAAATTTAACATGGTGACAAACTGAACCATATTACAGGCACTGTATTTTACATGATTAAACCGTATTTTACTTGATTAAAAAATGTCTTGATAGTTAGCAGAGAGCTTGATTAAACATGAGGAAATCCAGGTTCGATTTTCGGGGTTGCCCGGTTGATGGGTAAATTACGATTTGCTTGAATCGATCACTTTCGTGACGTAAATCATAGCCAGTGGTAGACGATTCATGGATAAAAATTCCCTTGCCTTCGGGCTAACTGTGAGAGGTCCTCCTCCCCATATGACGTAAATGCGATTTAGTTACACCAAAAATTTCTCTATGAAGAACATTTGTCCCAATACTTGATCAAAAAATTCTTTTGCCCTCTGGGTAGTGTTCAAAGTTATGAGGTGACAAATTAGTGATTAAAATCGGATAATAAATATCTCCAGTTCCCATAGAGCCAGAAACGCAGTAAATTGCAATCTATTCTAGTAGTTTTGACCATACTTTTTTTCTCCTTGTGGAAGTTTGTTTACAACAATTGCATCTAAATCAGTTTGATATCAGTTTTATAGATACAAATTTTAAACAGAAAAGCATTGCGAAATTAAAAATATGATATATTATTTATCTTTTGCATTTATATTCGACACATTTTAGTCACAATTTATTCCCAGTTTTTTTCAGTATTTCGTATATGAATATTAAATGTCGTTAAATCAATCGGAGGAATGTTAAAAAATTGTTGCTTTAAAGCTTGTATGAAAGTAATAATTTGTGTGTAATAAGATGGGTAAAAAGAAGAATAAATAAATTAAAAGTAAAGTAGAATGCTTATGTTACAAAATACTTTAGTAAAATACATTTTCAACTTCCACTATAAAAGTTTTAAAACCAGTTGTGGGAATAATATGCATTAAGTAAAATTTTTCAATCAGAAAGTATTTTTAATGAGTCTTTTTCTTCATATACTTATGTGTTAGAATACTTTTGCTCATTTCATAGTAAAAGTAAGCTACAAATTTTCTTGTCAAATAGGTAGTTTAAATAATTATTTTGTTATGAAGTTTATTCTTCAGAAAATATAATTATGCAGATATTTGTCTAAAAGTATACAAAAGCACATTTATTTGAAATGTTACAATTACCTTCATTCAACTACCATTTTGCATTTAAATTTATTTATATATATTTTTAATTCAGGGGGAATCCATTTTTTCTTGTTGTATGCCTGTTTAGGCAGTGGGG